GTTAGTTTTTTCTACCTTTTCTTCCTTTTGAAAGTCCACCGAATGTTAAAGAATGCAAAATTCTCGGCGGATATAGAAAAGAGAGGTGTATAAAAAAGCGGTCTTTTTACAGCGCGACTCAAATTGATGAAAAAAATATCAAATATAACGAAGGATTGTCAATAGAGAAGATACTATACAAAAAAATAACTCGAGAGACAAATTTAAATTACAATTTTATCTTACCGTTGGACCAGTCATTACGGAATCAGTTTGTCATACACTTTGGGAGCACGATAAATCTGATCTGAAAATCACGAATTCCGGAAGTGGTACGACGGTAATTCATGCTTGTTTTTGTGTTCAGACTAAATTCATGGTAGTCACGGCACACAGTTGCCTGAACATCGATAGTCATACATGACAGGTGGGTGGTCGAATGTTTCACTCCCATAGTTGATGTCCTCACGTGATGTGGGGGGGGGGAGACGTGAATTCTAGTCAAGTGGTTTTGTGAAATGTGGACAGAACATTGGATTACGAGAGAATTGAGTCAAGGTGCAGAGTAAGCCTATGCCTAGACATCCGTATGAATTACGTTCTCAACAAAAATAGTAAATATACCATAGGGGAAACGCTTCCAAGTTTCAATTCATCCATCTGTTTTGGCAAGTGAGACAGGGATTTGTTGCAAGGTTGAGTAGAATTTTTGTAACAATTAGAAATAATAAATCAAACTTTGATTTAAACTAAGTTAAGTAATAATAATAATGAGAATGATGATTGGCAGTAGAATAAAACACTGAACCAAAAGCGTGTTAGATCAGAGGCCTTTTAGTGAGGATAGCTGAAATTTGAGTAAATCAATTATGTAAGCCCAAGCCTGTACAGAGATACCTTACCTTAATACGTCTGCTTTCGCAGCAATAACCAGTCAAATGCAACTCCTTGTGATTCTGGGAGAAGAGACCGCCTTGTCTAGGATTTAGTCAGGACCGCCAGGTGTATTGAAATATACATGCCATCTGGTATCTAACAAAATGTTCTCTATGTAGACAACGAGTGAGGATTCATTCTAGATGATCTGTACTGCAGTGTCTGTTTGCTTCGCAATCCAGTAAATCGGGAAGTTGATCTAATACACTAGAGGATCTGGGGTTGAGTCTGTGTTATGTACACAAACCTTGGCATACCTCCATCCTGATACGAGACAAAACCATTGTACAACATTCCAAGTCATTCACTCCGGCTGAATCACTGATCATTACTATTCAGATATTGTTATGTACCCGTAAATAAATAAAATGCCGTTTTACTTCATTTTTTATTTATTGAACAGACATGCGTACAGTTAACTTTCAGGAAGAGGGCTGCGGTCATACAAAGGCTGCCTGTGGAAAATACAGAAATAGGGAAGACGAGCGGGAGTGAAGCGGTTCGAATCGGAATTTCCCTGGTTAGAATTCAATGGCCCGAAAACTTGGTCGCCACCATGAAGTCCATAAAAGTGACCCGAATAATAGAGTCATAGTCTTCTATTCAACATGCGCAGAAACGGGTATATTTTGCATGTTCTGATTGCATGTGGTTCTTGCCAATACGGAACAAATAGAGCACATTATACACAATTGTTTTACGAACGGAAGGAATCAACCGATGGCATTTTTTGACAAAAACTTTGGCTCATATTCAACCAAGTAGGGCACCAGCTATCGGGTTCACGGTAAAATCCCAAACTCATAGGTATCTATTTAAGGGTGTTTTAAAAGGACCATGTCTCACTGAGAATGCAATTTCGCAGCCTAAGTTCTTATCTGAAAAAGGGGTTTATCCAGAGCGCCTTGAAGCGGAGGAACTAGTTCCAGTTCCTAAAAGTTAAACGCATGATTTTCCAATCAGAATTTACAATGAGTTACATTACTTGACCATCACTTTATTACTAGTGAAATAGAATTACAATTTTCAAAGTGAAAGAAGCGTTTAGGATTAGAAGACATTGGAATCTTTTCCGGCATTCACTTGTTTATTCATTTTTACTTGTGAACGGTTTACAGCATTCATCAACCAACATATAAGTGAGACAATCTGACAGATGTAAATCTTGTTTAATAGAACTCAAAAGAGAGAAAATGAATACAGCGAGATGTTAACAACTTTTTTCAACCGCCTCAGTTGCAACGACCTAAAATAAACTGATATTTACTCCGGAAATTTATGGTAGTTTAACGGAGGACGGGGTGATGGGTCGGGCGGGAATCAGTCCGAGAATCAGTCTGTCGGTAATTTGACTGATTACGTCAGCAACCTTTATGCACATTGGATTACGTAACTTGATTGACTGGATTTCGTTGAAAACTAAAAATCTGGGATTCATGGCTTGATTGACAAAACTGGGTCAACGATGTGTCCAGTTGTCAGAAGATGTTCTCGCTCAATTATCTCTGTCTCGCCCTGTTCTGACGAATTAGATTGGGGCGTCCAATGATTCAAGTTTTTCATGCAATCCATAACCAATTGCGGTTATTCTGTTAATCAAGATCAGTCATCTAGATTGTGTAAATCCATCATATATACAATTTTTTACTTGTTGAAAGCAAAATATCTGGTAATAAACCAAAAATCTTGCAGTTGAACCATATTTTCACGGTAATTGTATACAGGCACAGTGCACGTATCATCTGGAGTTGTTCATACCTCATTCCAGGTGCACTGTTTGATAGATTCAGTTCATAAACTATAATGCAATTGCTTCGATCGACGTCCTTATTTCCGTTTCCCTGGTCCAGTTTATTGATTTTGTCATTTACTCTCCCCTGATCATTTCACTTTGTCATATGTGCGTAATGCGAACGAGTTAGAAAAACCAGAATGAGAAATAAAGCTCAATAAATGTTTGATTTGTTTCCACTTTGTCATCGTTGATACGACGTGCTGCGCATTCTGACCGATTTCCAATCATGAGTCGTGGACAGATGTGCTAAACATCATAAAAGGAATGTTTTTTTCATCTCAATCGGTTTTGTCAACCAACAAACAATCTGTAATTCATTTGAAACCAATCCTATTGCGTTTTATTCTCTACAAACTGAGAACCTGCTTACAGGAAGGAGGAAAAATAGTATGCAGAAATGTTTTTTTTCGTATACTTCATAACCCCTAAATTATTCATATCTCGCACTTTCCGATTGAGTTTCAACTGTGATTATGTAATATGGGGTTGCATTTGAATTTTTTTTTTACGTTTTGCAATCCATCCCACCGCTGTTCTTTTGTGCTATTTCAATCGATTAGAAAGTTTTCCAATAAACGCGCTTGTATAGCTGCCTGAGGATTAATTATTTGTCGGGACATACACGGATTAGAATTGTGTTCTCAAAATGCAATCAATCATCTTACTGTTCACATATAATTCTCCAGTTAATCCCCTCTTACATTGAACGTCCGTGTAGCTTTAAAACTATTCCCACTCACCTTATTCCATGATGGTTTAAATTTAAGGCGTGTTCCAGATTTTCGATAGATAGATAGATAGATAGATAGATAGATAGATAGATAGATAGATAGATAGATACACCTCCGAAAATTGCATCAGGCTAATTAGAGAAGGGTGGCTACAAAATATCGATCACTAACACTGATTCCTATGTGATGATACATTACGGGGTGAGGGGAAACCTGCGGGGGGGGGGTGCTGAGGGGCGTGGACGGGCACTTCCGGTTCGAACATTTGTCCCCAAATGATGTTTCATCTATTGATTTTCTTCATCACTCGCCTAGGTACGATGTTTGGAGCATACGTATAATTATTATCTATGTCAAAGTCATCGAATCCAATATTATATTTCATCGATACACAGTCAGATGAGGAGGAAGAAATGTGTTTGCATGCGAATTCCGGAAGACAAAATTTGAGAAAATCATGAAAATGATGCAAAAAGAATACGGTACAAATTATGTAATCATGTTCAAAAATGTTCTGAGGCGATATGTCATGCGCGAGATCAGCAAGAAATTCTGAGTGTCGAACGTAACACGTAACTGTTTGGCTCAGTTTGAATGATGTAACCGAACATTAAACGAACTACGCGTTGTGAACACTAAACAGCTGAAAGCTGACTGATGTGTTGTTAATGCACAAAACGATATTTCATTCTGTCTGTCACAAAAATAGGCAGTTCTGATGAGTTCCATTTGCATGGAAAAGGTGGGACCGTTCACAGAACAAAGCATGCTGTTTGCGCTATCCGGAACGGTCAATGTTGGTGTAGGATAGGAGCGATTTGAGCACTGTGTAAGGCAATACATCATCCCTGATTAGACTTCATCGGTTCATTCATTTTTATTACTAATAGTGAATAAACTGAAAATGTTCTGTCCATCTAAAATGCTGATCAATTAACAAAAATATGCAAGTACTGGTAGTGTTTTACCAGTAGTGCGATGTTCGTAGTTCCTGTGTATCTTTACAGTGCTGTCCGATTGTAATGCAATAAAATATTTTCTTTCGGATCTAATTGAGTTTCGTGATATTTATCACCAATATCATTGCTTCAGGTATGGAAAATAATTTATCACTTGTCTACTTCGATCTACGCAGTTTCTAGGCCGCATAATTGTCAATTAAACATGTGACCTTGGTTGCCAAAATACAACAATCTCAACATGATAACCGCAAACTTAATCAAGTATGAAAATACAATATATTTTAAAAGGGGAGACTCAAGAATTATCCCAAACTCTTGCCATCTCGTTTACTCGTTATGAGAGATTTTTTTAATCTAATATATAATCCATTATAGCAACTCTATTCAACAACCAAATGAAATTCTTAATTGATTTTAGACTTGAGAAAAGATGTGTGACTCGAAGGTGCAGTTCATCCAACTTCCTTTTAATAACTCGGATCTCAGTGTCATTGAAAATCTATTATCTGTTAAGAAGAGTGTTGCGACGAAGGGCCAGTACACATAGCTTCGTGCGATTGTCTTTATACCGCTCATACCAGGGTGAATCTCATGAAATCAGCGGAGTACTCGTGAAGGTGGTGACGATGGAATGACAACACGATTGGCAAACATGAGGCATGAGTCAACCACAGATCGGGACGTACGTCGCACATATAACTGTTTCAGCTCGTCGGAGGTCAACGTAGGTGGCCAGCAATATATAGTCCATGACATCGCGGATTGAACATTGGGATAATTGACCAAGGCATGCTTGATGTCCTCTGCAGTAACGGGAGTTCCCATGATAGTGTCGTTCAGTGCGCAAAGTGCGTCAGCGTCGGACGTGATAGCTGCAATCACCATGTCTTCTGGGGTGGACGTCTGGTGTCGTGGAAGGTGTGATAATCCATCTGATTGACAAAATTCCTGCGTGTAGCGGAATACTGATTGAGCGTCAGGTAGTAGTTGAATTGAGGCTTGAGCACGGGTGTACAGTCCGAGTTCGTCTTGGAAAACCTCCGGAAATTGCTCTGCCATTTATTTTTCATCGGAGAGATAGAGTGCGTTTCATATTTTGCTCAATGGCAAATCCATATGTTGACACGGCCTATTGAGTCGAGGCCCAACAGGTTGAATGATGTATCAGAGATAACAGATGCCCTCCTTGTGTATATCAGAAAATGCAATAGCTCATTCAAACTGTGTTACCAGTTTGATAGAATCATCAGAGAACCACAAATTGCGTAACCAGTACCTGCAGGTCCATGGACGGTGACTATGCGCGGTCAGTCAACGATATCCACTACCTCGTCTGAGGAGATTCTTACTCCAAGTGGTCTGGAATCTACGACATTTCCTCCCGCACTGATGGAAATACCGTCTCTTGTCTACGCCTTGTTGTCGCCCAACATGACCTACCGGAAGTGATTGTTTCGGACAATGGTACTCAAATCACTTCAGCTGTTCTCCGGGATTTCCACCAACAGCGGCATATCCAAAACAATGGGACTCAACCGTATCACCCATAATCCAACGGTCTGGTGAAACATTTCGTGGATACTTTCAAAACAGCTCTGTTGAAGCTTCGAGGGCAGGGGACTATAGATGAAATTCTGCAACGGTTCCTCTGAGCTTATCAGTCAACTCCGAATGAATCAACACCGAATGGCAAGACCCCTGCAAAGGCGCTAATGGGCCCAAATTTTGGACAGTGCACGACATCATGTAACCCAAAGACCCATCAGTAAAGCGAAAGGAGATACAATTGAAGTAAGCACCGAATTATGTTTTATACGCCAGGGATTATCGCCCAGATCGCGACCCGTGGGCAGAAGGAACCATTAAACGGTGAATTGCCAAGGTGCTTTATGAAGTGCAAATAGGACAGGACACATGGTTACGTCACAAGAACCAATGACACCATAGATACCGCCGGTCTTGCGAGGTTTCCCTGGATATCCTGCTGAACACTTTTACCATCCAAACCAACAGAGGAGGCGTGAATAATACTGAGAATATTGTCTGGTCGGCTAAGAAGACCAACCAGGAGATTGCAAGCGGATCTCCGTTACCAACACTAAAGGTAACCAACCTAAGTGGGGAGGTGTTGGGACAAAGATCGTTGCTATTCATCCCAAGATAAGCCCGGCTGCATATTTGCTAATCCTGTGGGGAAAAATCGAACAAACTTACAACACATTTGACCCTAATTACGATCATCTTGGATCAATACCAATCTCGCGGAGCCTAATCAATAGTATTGTGTCGTACCGCAATATTCACTCAGTCCGTCCGTCTGCTTCGTGGCCTATGACCGGTTGAACTTTGTTCACTGTGTAATTGATTGGTACAACCTTTTGCTCGCATTGATCAATGTTACTTTAAGTTAAATACAAACATCAGAGTAGAACTTTTAAACTGACTGGTGACTTGTGTTCAATGCCATTAAAAACCGGTGCTGTTGAAGCCGCACCTTCACTCTCGTCTTTTGGGAGGTCTGAGAGGTCGGCAGCCGACCGTGCGTCCTGTGTTTCGCCTAGGTGGCTTCCGCTTCTAGAACTATCATTCGTTCACGTACTTAGTGCTAGTCCGCTGTTCTTGTGTTCCCGTGTTCTACCACTGTTACTGTGCTATATCTTGTGTTCTTTGCACTTGTGGTATTCATCTGTGATATAGTGCTGTGCGACATAATATTAGGCAATGGATAGAAGCGGCGTAAAACAACAAATTGGCGCCGGAACAAAGAGAGGTCAATATGCTACATGCACATTAGACGTTGGAGGCAAAATGTGACACGTAATGGAGCACAAAATAGAAAATAACTTCATAACAACGTTGGTGGATTCAAGGCCGAAGTGGCTCAAAAAGGTCATAAAGAAAGAAAAAGGCGGGCCAATCGACTATTAGTGTACACAAACTTTACATAAAGTCAATCTCCTGCTATGTCGCACCCCTCGGGAATTCGAAAAAGTGGGTAAGTTTCAGGAACTGCGACATAGCAGGGTAAACAATAGTAGATGCTATTGAGTAGGATAAACATCGGTTGACAGTTTTGTGACAAAATAAACCGGATCGATGAAAAGTATGTTAATCCCGTTAGTTGTTTCCAATACTTATGATTATAAACTGTTTCTTTATAACAGAATTTAAATCTACTGTCCTGCGTATTCTGTATGTATTGCAGAAATTTAAACATTTTATGACGCCCTCAGCCTATTATCGGTACATTGCATACGGTATTCAGCCCTGTTCAGTTCTATTTGTCTAGTTATCCCGAATCAACCTACCTTTCTTCAGGGAAACTTTTTCTGACCCAATTATCCCATATTAGTTCCAGGTATTCCTCCATTCCATTGCAACGTTAGGCTAACCACAGAATTGATTATATAACTTCCACCATAATACACAACTGTTTTTGCTATAATAAGCACATCATTTTTAACCCATTCAAGGAAAATAAAGGTGAACCAGTTTGAATACAGTGAGAAGGAAATGAAATCTAAAATGAGTGAAATACCTTTTACGGGGTATATTCAGAACATTGACTTCCTTCCCATGTTCAAACTGATCGTTCGTTGTGCAATCTATTCATGTTTTTCTATTGAAAAATGTGTATCATTCACGTCTGCAGACATCTGTTTGTTCGTTTGCTTCTGTTTAAGCCGATTGATGCATTCGTCATGACCGTTGTTGGTCGAACTAAGTTCAACTAGGGATGCCTTAACGTGATTCATAAGCCATACCTTTTTAAATTTAAGATGTCATGTTGCAATGTGGATAGATAGTACGATAGTCCGATTACTCCATCGGTTCACATTCTCTTCTACTTTTTGTGATGATCTTGTTGTCCCGTTCAGTCCATCCGTGTGCTGGTGGCACTCCTGTTGCGCAATCCACGTTCACTGGACCTGCCTAAGACTCAGGGTTGTAGACAACGTGAGGTTTCTCGCTCGGGTTATCTGGGTAGACAGTTTTTTTCGTGAAATTCCAAGTGGCTTGGCGACGGAGCTCTGAGTTGCACCTGGCTGTTTCAGCATCTCCAACAGATTCTGTTTCTCTCTGATCGATAGGCGCTTGCACATTTTGCCGTCAAATGACACCGTCTCCGATCACTTGCATCGGTGTGACTTCCTCGCCAGGATTATCCAATCAGTGAACTTCTCCATGAACGCATCACACTAAGTGCAACGCCATTGGTTGAGTGCGACATTTCACGGTGGATGATCAGTGGTCGTCCCGAACATCGGTCAACGACCAAGTGAGTACGTATCAGGAACTGCGATTTATTGGGGGGTGCGACGTAGCAGAGTCAGAAACCACGTTGTTAGACATACGATTAGTTTGGGTTTTCGAAAAAGTGGGAAGATATTAAAAAATGTGACTTATCAGGGGTGCGACATTGTAGGAGATTGACTGTATTAATTATTATCAATGTTAATTTGTTATCAATAAAAATTGTTTTGTTCTCTTTAGTTAGATCTCAACTCCTCATGTTCTAGGTCAACTACTACTGACAAAGTGGGAGTGTCGACTACATTCCAAACCATTCCATCTACTGAGTATAAACAAATCAGGAAAATCACTGTTGTAAAGACTCACCGAGGCTGGTTTGTTATTACTTGGAAAAACATTTACTTCCCGATAAACTGTGTTGCCTATACTAACCCTGAAATGTTTCACAGGGAACCGTTGCTTCAGTTTCGATTAGACCTATATTTGAATTGGCGAGACCTTGGATGTTGTGATAAAATTTGTAGTTGTTTAAAAGTTACGGCTCACAATTGAAAAATATGTTTCACAATTAGTGAGTATTGTTTGACGAGGGTGTTTATTTCCTTTAGTTCAAGTCCTCTTGACAACATATCTCGTTCTTCTACTGGGCTTTCATGAACTCACAAAACTGTGCGATCAAAAGCCTTGGTCATAATCGATAAATCGCACTGTTATAGGGTATTCAACTCTCGAGGGTAGAGACATAAGTGGTCGTGAATGAGGTGAAAAACGCTAGCCGTTTCGAGGAATGGATCTGCGGGAACGTCACGGTGGTGCCGGAGTTCGACCTATATCTGTATATGTGCAAATGTACCGTCTGACGGACGGCATGAATGTCAACGTTATCCTCTCCTCCCTCAGATTCTACCTATGCAACATTTAAGGTAGATGGTACGAGAAAACTGAACAACACAATCGTTGCCCATGTTACAGAAAATGGGCATCAAATTTCCCGTGGGAATTTCAAAGTCTCGTACACACTGCCTCCTAATTTGATACGTTTGAGCAATAACTGTTATAATTGTTAATGCACAAGTGGATGCTTATTAGACAGCCAAATCTGAAAAGATGCTTGCTTCCTCACCTCGAGCTAACCTGGAATATAAATTCCATTGCTCATCTATCCCGCATGGTGACAAAATCAGAGATGGCGATTTACCGACCTCCGAGAAGAAAGACCAACTCAGTTTCTGAGTTAGTACTCAAACGCCCCACAGCCGTTTAGCATTGTCTTCATATTCGGGGTAGTTTGCGAAATATTAAATTTCAATTTTCTGTCAATTTATTTCTCCTGATCAAATATGCTTCAATTTGTTTTTGGCTTACTCGGGTAGGCAAAGGTCTGTGCCAAATGAGATAATTGTCTAGATGGATTTTGTTGAAGAAACAAGATAATTTGAGTCATATATTCAGTTATTGGTTCTACTGAACTCCTGCAAAAAATATCAATCGTTGCATCGAATGATAATCGTCCCACAGGACAGTTTATCCGAACTTCAATAGGTCACACGAACTAATATGCGCAGGTTATTGAAGGAGTGGTTATGGTACGTATCGAATCACGTTGATGCATGCAATTCGCCTTGCGATTCCCCGTATAAACACTATCTCATTCTCAAACGCTTTTCCTTCGGATATTTGCAAATCGAATTTCCGAATATTGGTAACCAAAAGCGTGGATAGTTTAATGAAAAAACCATGTTCAGCCCAATCATGAACCCATACCGAAAACAACAATGTTAACTTGCCACAGTGCCATATCATGA